ACACATAAATCAATCATTGCTGAGAGTTAATTCTCTCGGACTCAGTCCACCATGTACATGCATATACAGTCAAAATAAAAATTATACACATCATCAAACATCACAAAATAGGCTTCAAACATAACAAAAACATGTTTTCATCCAACATATACTTAAAATCATATATTTTATCACAACATCTTCATGAATACAAGCATACCACTTCTTTAGTAACAAAATAGAGCTCTCCTTACCTTAAAATAGAAGTTTAGTAAAGGGTTTTCAAAAGATTTTGCTTAAAATGTGAAGTTTTTCCTAAATATCACAAGAGATCTCATTTAGGGAAGGAGAATCAAGAAAATAACTAAACGAATGGAGAACCATGCTTCAAGAACTTACCAAAGAATAAGGGAACTGAACTTCCAAGCTTTGATTGGAGAAAGGTTGAGATTTTTCAAATATTTGCTGAAAAAATGAAGAGAGAAGTCAGAGAGAACATAGAAGGTCATAATTTGGAGTATACTTCAAGTTTCTCAACTTAAAAACCTTTAAATATCCCTCAATTCATGATATTCTTGCTACAGTGAAAAAAATAGACAAAATTGCACTTTGCTGTCTGTCATTCTAGCTACAGCGAGAGCTTCTCGCTACAGCAAGAAACAGCAAGAGAGTATCAAAATGCTTGATTTTGGACACTGTTTTCTCGCCACAGTGAGACACATCTACAATAAGAAATCCTGCAACTTAAACATCTAAAACTCTCCTAATTTCAAGCAACATACATTAACAACTCATACCAAATACAAAACTAATAAATAATAAAAATAGGAATACAAAAAAATACTGTAGGTTTTTATATTATTTAAATTAACTCTATAATTTATAAACCTACTAGTCAACTCTTTATAGTTCTTATTGAAATAAAATTCTTAACGGTCTCTATTTTATTTAATAATTTTATGCTAAAATGACTTTAATCCCTTTATAAATTGAACAATTAAAGTCTCTCTAATTTATACTTCATTAATTAAATGGTGAATAGAGAGTAAACTAAACATAGAAGAATGTTAAGAAATTCTAAATTTTACAAAAAGTCAAATTTTGAATGAATTTGCAACAACTAAAATTGTAAGAAGCATAAATCATCTAGTGAAAAAGCTTAAAATGATCAAAGCTTTTAAAGAAAGATAATGAGTTACTTTCAAATAGCTTTTATATTCCATATCAATATTATAATTTATAGTTGAATGTGATTCACCATCATAGTAGTAGTTGTGTCAACTAATATGGGTGGCTCATCTTTATTTTTTTGTTACGTGTAACAAAAGACAAGGAAAAGGAGAACTAGTTGAAATACACTTGTATTTTGAAGACAATTTTAAAAAACAACCAAATATATATGGAAGAGTGAGAATCCAAATAAATTATCGTTGATGCGATTATTTAGTATGCTTAAGCATGTGAAACTTGATGCAACTAATGCCACTTTTTGGTGGTGTATTCCTAATGTAGATATGGAAGGAAACTTACTACCCATCCTAGGGAATAATGATATTAAACTAGTGAATGATTCAAATCGATACCTTTTTACAAGGATTATTTATAGTGTAAGTGGAGAACAAGGATTTGAATTACCATCTCTACTTGTTAGTTATGTAGCAGAACATTTGGAGAAGAAAGGTATAAGCATTGGCCAAATAGATGACAATAATGAAGAAGACATTGTTGTTGCACACATAATAATATAAGCTAACATAGAACAAAGCAAAAATGATAATGAGCCTAATCGGTTAGAAGAAGGTTTGAAAACAGTTAAGGATAAATATATTTTTGTTGTGAAGTCTAATGCCAATGAACCATTATTAGTTCATGTTAGGGATGCATTAAGTGCTTATGGTGAACATGTAGACAACAAATTGAGGGAGGTGACTGAAATGAAACAACTATTAGTGATCAAGATTTGTTAGACACCATTGAGCTTGATGGTGAGAAGCTTAATGAAAGACATCAAATTGAGTTGAAAGCATGCCAAAAATTCAAGAACTTTCGCATATTCAGGCATGTTTTAAAGGAATGGAATACAACAGAAGGATATGAAGTTAGTTGAATAAGAAGTGATTCTTATAAAATTACTGCCAAGTATGTAAGGGGTTGTGCATGGAGGATCCGTGCTTCTTAAATCCAAAAGACTGCCACTTTTCAAATTAGGACTTTGAAGGGGAGCATATGTGTAGGAGAAAGCACAACAACAAGCATGTCACAACAAGATACTGTCAAAAGTATCAATTTAAAGTTAGGAATGACCCTCAATGCAATTTGATTGCTCTTTAGAATAATGTTAGAAAAGATCAACGGTTGATGTCACATCATCTAAGATGTATAGAGCAAAGAGAAAAGCAGAAGAAGATATACAAGACACAAACATGGCACAATCTCATAGTTTGTGACATTATGCGGTCAGAATTAGAAAGCATAATCCAAGAAGTAAAGTGAAGATATAACTTGATAAGTCATCTCCTACTGATAATGATACATTTCAAAGGATGTATTAGTGTCTTCAATCTTGCAAGCAATGATTCTTGAATGGTTGTAAACCAATTATAGGTCTAGATGGTTGCTTTTTGAAGAATTGCTTTGGTGGGCAATTACTATATGCTATGGGAAGAGATGACAATATCATATGATGTCAATAGCCATAGCAGATGTTGAAGTTAAAAGATATCACTCATGGAAGGAATTTTTTACAATTATTGATGGATAATGTGGGCATGGGAATTATATAATATCTTTTAAACCTTTATTTTAGATAAACAAAGAGGTTAATTAATGCTGCTAATATATTTTTTCAAATTTTGAGCATTGATTTTGTGTGTCATATGTATTAAAACTTAAACTAAAGATTCAAAGAAAAAGACAAACAGTAGAATTCAATTAGCAGATTATCCTTGTGTGCATGCATGTGATGCAACACAAGATTGTAAAAGAGCAAATAGTAGAATTTGTCAATGAATGCTAGTATGGAGAAATTCTTACAAACTTAAGCACACATAATCAAGTCTAATTGTGGTGCCAAGTATGGGATAAAAGTTGAAATTGATCCTATTAATCCACCGTCGGTAAGTAAGGCCAAAAAAAAAAAAAAAAAGAGAAAACGAGAATTGGAGATGAACTAAAAAAAGGTCAAACATCAACTAGGAAGGGACTCATTATTCACAGCAAAAGATGTTTCTAATAAAACCATAATGTAAGAACCCTATACATCCTAACTCTAAATTTAATAAAGTATATCAATTTTTATATTCCATAATTTTATTCATTATCAATATGCATTATATGATTAATCTCTTAGGTTTCTTGATACAGGTAACTAAAGTTTATAAAAAAATAGCATTATCAACAACATATAAATTAAATGTTGTTGTTCTTTCTCTAGTTGGACAAAATTAATGTAGTAATAATTTTATGTGTAAAAGCTTATATTTATTTATCATTTTTATTTGACAGTCTCCAATCATAGAAGAAAACATTCATAATGGAAAATCAAAATGGACATGGAGCCTGCTATACTATATTATATGTTAAAAATTTATATACAATCATATTTATAAGTAAGCATTGGTTATATAGTTAGGCGCATTTTTGTTATGAATATAATTTTTGTCTTTTCGAGGGGATAAGGAATAATATTGTAACTATTTACATTTTTTTTATTTTTTAAATTAATTTTTTGAAATTTTCATAAAAAATAATTTTAATTTAAATACAAAATATAAGTTATTATTCTTATAATAACAAATTTACATAAACACTATATTATTAATATTTTCTGTACATTGAACGAGTTCGGCTTCTAGTTTATTTTTTAAAAGGGTAAAATTTAGCAGGTTGAGTTAGGCAATCGAAAATAAAATGTTTTTATAGTATTTGATTCGATATGCATACAAATAATCGTGTACTTCTATCACAACATTTAACGTAAGAAAATAAATGATAAGCTGAAAATTCCCAACCCAACAATATTCTTACTAACGGAATGAGTTTAGGTTTTTTATGGGTCACCAATTATCATTTCTCGACCTTGTTTCTCGTCCCTTCAGTAGAAAAGAAGCCATTGAAAAAGCACCAAGCCCAAATATAGCCTCTGTGCCTTAAAAATGTAGTATTACATATCTGGATTTTCACCTAAAAATACGTTGAGCTACATGTCTTGATTTGATCACTCCTAACGATAGGAGGGTGTTTGATAAAAAACCATTGCTCTTTCTGTTTTCACTTTTGAGAATTCTCCAACCCTGAAAGTCTCCCTCTTCTTGGTTGGTTTTTTTTCCTACACAACCAACCAAGAGCACCATGCACCCATTTTTCTTTGCATAATTTCTTTCTCCTACCTTGCCAACTTGATACGTGTGTTCTTCTTCACTGCTGGTACATGCATGCTTTAGGTTTTGTGATTCATTTAAGTGTATATGGAAGCCAATAAAGTCATATTATATATGCTTCATTTAAGTATTATGCTCTGAAGGTAGAGCCAGGTACGTAGGTGTTTTGATTTGTTGTAATCTTTATTTGTTTTTTCTTAATTTTATTTTTCCACTTATTTTCCCAACACAATTTTTTCATCATGAAATCTTTTCCCTTTTGCAAGGTGTTTCAGACCATGAAAAGAAACATACTTTCATTTCTAATGACAAATTATTGTTCTTAGATGTTTAAAATCATTCGCCAAAGATTAATATTAACAATTTTCCTTTTTATATAGAAAGCTTTCAATATGTGAAAATTTCATTGATAAATAATGGATTTTGCATAAAGGATTAGTTACTCATTTTATTGTGTCATTAAGTAATACGGCCAAATATTTAATTGGTACAAAGCAGATTTTTTATGTAATCATTTGGGTTACTTGTTTCTTTCAGAAAGTTTTTGTTGGTTCCATTGAAGAAAGAAATTGCACCAGCATCAATTTTAAGTGGAGGGTTTCTGGGTGTAAGTATATCAACGAGCTTCATTTATATTACTCAATGTCTACCAAGGTGAAAGGACTCCTTAAAGGATTAAGATACATATCCCAAATATTTGGTATGCGCAGTCTCTTTTCTCACTAAGAAATGAGATATAGCTTTTTCTTGACCCCATGCATTTTTTAAGAGTAGGAAATTTTTATTGCTATGTTTCACTGTTTTCTTTTAATCATCTTTTGCTAGGTGTTGAGAATTATTTTGTGTAAGGGATGGATCACAGACACGCATTTTTTTTTCCCCAGACTTTTATTTGATAAACACATTTAAGAGCTTGTCATTTTATTATTGATATATGCTTTGATTGCTTTGTTATACAGCTCGATGCCCAGATTAAAGGAAAGAAAAAAAGTAATCTATTTGATGGCAGTAATTCAAAAATATGAAATTAACTGCTATTATTTTGTTATTTATCTCTAAAAAATCAAAATTGGAAAGCCTACATTTCATATTATTGTTAGTTTGAATATTATTCTTACAATTTGAGATTTTCAAATTACAGATTGTGAATTAGTGAATTAATCACAATAATTTTGCAGAAGAAAAAGAAGATGATTTTCAAATTGGGTTCCCAACTGATGTAAAGCACGTGGCGCACATTGGATCAGATGATCCATCAGCAAATGCACCTAGCTGGGTACTATTCTAATTCCCTCCTATTTCATAGTAATAATTTTTATTTGGTTAATAATTCTTCCTCAACAAACATTAATTTGTGATCAATTTGAAAACTTATGCAGATGACAGAGTTCAAACCAGCAAAAGAAGGAGACCCATCGGGAACAGTAAATGAGATGCTTGAAGGTTTGCACACCTTAAATGATTTAACTTTGTTTATAAGTTAATTTTAGAGAAAAAAATAAAGAAGGAAAAGATTTATTTAAATGTAAAGTAGAATTTTTATAAACCTTTTAAAACTTCTATAAATTTATGTTTCAAACTTTTGTCATTTTTTTTTCATAAACTTTCTTTCTTTTTCCCTTGACCTCCTTTTCCTAATTTTTCAAACTCTTCTCTTCTCTTCTCTTATCTTCTCTTATCTTATATTTCAAACTCTAAAAAAAATATTTTTAAGAAATTCGGTTAACAAAATTAATAAAACAGGAGAGAGAGAGAAACTACATGTAGCTTTAAGGAAAGAATAAGAAATACAGACAGTGAGAATAGAAAATAGTCAAAACTAATTTTTAGATTCTCTTCTCAATTTTTTATATAAAATATTTTTTAATAAGAAAAGAAAATTTGCTGGGTGTATATTTTCTGATTCTGTAATTTTGATGTCTGTCGTGGTTGTTTTAGAATTGAGGATGTAGGAGCACATTATGAACAATTGTGACAAGCTGGTATTTAATTTGTGTAGATGACAACAATTCATCAAATGCAAAAGGAACACATTCAAAGAGTCGACATATGGTTCCCAAGTCTCGACACCAATCAATAGACAGTGAGACCAAACAAAAGCACACGAGACGCAGCCACCGATCATCGGACCCATCTGCAGACACATCGGCAAATGAATCATCAGGTGGTTCTCGGCATCGGCGAAATAGGCGTGGATCGAACCACGGCGGAGATTCACCGTCGCAAGAAATGCCACCAACTGGCGCCAAAACTCATCGGAGAAAATCAAAGAACTCGGAAGATGGTTCAGTGCGAAAGCCATCGTCTAGAAGATCTTCCAAAGGGGATTCGCTAACTGATATCTCTATTTCAGATTTTGGATCTGGCTCAGGGCCCGAAACCAAGAACGAGGCTCAATAGGGTTTAAATTCAACTCAGAGAAAGTAATTAATATGCTAATTATTATTCAACCAATACTTTAGGGAGGGAATGAAGGGAACATATTTGCTCTTTTGCAACTTGTAAATTCTTACGGATTTTGATTCACTCATTTTTCATTGAAGCCATCACTTCAATTCTTTTCATACCAATCTTCTTCTTCTTCTTTTGTTGAAATATCGATGCTTCGTCCAAAACTTCTTAATTGCATGCATAAACGATGATCTTATGTCCATAATATTTAATTAAATATTATTATCATAAATAAAATCATGTTTATCAATTTGTGCATAACACAAAAATTAAATTTTGTTTATACTTATATAGAACATGAAAAATAAATATTAAATAATTTTTGATACCTTTTCAGCATATTTTAAATTTATTTTTATGGTGCGCCTAAGAAGTCATGTTAAAAGAACCATGTTATTAATAATACCATATGACCTTTCTATGAAATAAGAAAATCCAAAAAAGAGCGTCGCGTAAATTAAGCGACAAAAACAAACAAATTCCCGGCTTAGCATTTTCAAAACTCAAAATTGCATCACTTCCCGCTCAGAATTCAGATTCACTACAGTATAAGACCCCGTGCGGTTTTCATCAAACGCCTTGTATCAAGCCACGCGTAACCCGATCACGAAACTCTATTTTTATTTCACACGTGGCTTAATTCTAACTGTTGATAAAAATCATACGGCACACATTGAATTAACCGTACTGAATCCCTATTCCTCCATCCTTGAATCTTCGTTCTCTCCTCAATTTACAACCCACAAAACCAAACTTCCATTTTCACACTTACATTCACATCACATTAATTTCACTCAGTCACCCACTGAGCCATGTCGTCCACTCGGCGCGGCGGCGAAAACGACGCCGCCACCTTCCGTCGCCGCTCGACCACCCGTTCCACCACCCCTCTCTCCGCCACTCGCAAATTCCCTTCCCCTTCTCTCCTCAAAGAAAACTCTAACCCTCGCCGATCCACATCTCGCGGGCCCACCCACAACCCCACCCTCAAACCCCGTGGCCGCAGCTCCAGCCCCTCCCTCGACCGCCCCATACCCAACAACCTGGCCCATACAAAGCCCATCAGCAAACCCACAACCGCCCAAAAGCTCAAACCTTCCACCACCACCACCAGGTCAAGTCTTGAAGTCAACAAAACTTCTCAACTCGTAGATCACAACAACACAAACAACAATAACAAGTATCCTAGTAGGCTTCACGAGAAGCTTGCGTTTCTCGAAGGGAAGGTGAAGAGAATAGCCTCCGATATAAAGAAGACGAAGGAGATGTTGGATATGAACAACCCTGATGCGTCAAAGGTTATTCTTTCTGATATTCAGGACAAGATCTCAGGGATCGAGAAGGCCATGGTTCATGTCGTTTCGAAGAATAATGATAGTGAAAATTGTAGTGACAATAAGCAATTGGGTGTTGTTGGTGGTGGTGATGATGACGTGGGTATTCAAAATAAGAGCTTGGTCAAAGGGCTGAACAATGAGGAACTTGAGGCAAGATTGTTCCCTCATCAGAAACTGCTTCGGGATAGGACGGTGGTGAAGGAGGAGGAGAAGGTGCTGAGTCCGGTTGACGATAACTCCGTTGCCGTTGAGTTCTTGGCTTCTCTTGGAGAAGAGAAGGAGAAGGTGTTTGAAGAGGTGAAGGATATGGATGGTGGAAATGGGAAGAAGGGAGGGAATGGTGGCTGGAATAATGCAGAGTGTGACATTGATGTTCTGCTTGCGGCTGATGAGAAGCTTGAGGAATTTGATGATCAGGAGAATCGGCAAGGGGAAATTGTTGGGGAGGAGGTGATGGATGAGGCTTTCAATTTTAAGTTGAATGAGATTGGGAACAAGGTTGCTTCTGGTGGCTGGTTTGTTAATGAAGGGGAGGCTGTTCTTCTTGCTCATCATGATGGATCCTGTTCCTATTATGATATTGCCAATTGTGAGGTATGCGTTCTTCATTGCATGTTTGAAATGTTGGCTTGTGGACTCTTTTAATTTTAGTTCAATTATTGATTTGCATATAAATTTGTTGACTATTAAGGTAGGCCATTCATTTAATCTCATATGATGATTGATTTCTAATCATTTAGATTTAAGTTATATGGTATTAATGTTATCCGTAAAGATTAATAATAATGGTTTGTATGAATATTCTGTGTTCAATGTCAACGTATGTCATTAATTTTAGTCTCACCAAGTTCATCCTTTGATTTTCATTAAGTTAGTGCTGAATACTATTAATGTAGTCGATTCAATCTCATAGGATGGTTAATTACTAATCATTTAGATTTTAGTTATATAAGTTAGTGCTGAATACTATTAATGTAGTCGATTCAATCTCGTAGGATGGTTAATTACTAATGATTTAGATTTTAGTTATATCATGTTAATTAGTGTTATCTATGTATATCAGTTTGTATGAATGATCTTCGGACAATATTGGTCTCACCCTGTTCGCCTTTTGATTTGCATGTAGATAGTGGTGAATATTGAGGTAGATGATTTGTACGATGGTTAATTATCATAATCTCTTATCTTTTTAGCGTTTCCTAAAGAGCTTTTGAAGAGAGAAAGTAATTATTTCTCATAATAAAGATTTTCAAACAGGTATAAAGAAGCTTAAAGCATGATATAACATATGATATGATATGGTACGATATAATGAAGAATTTATCATCTGAAAATTTATCATTCTTTCAGGAAAAAGCTGTATATATGCCTCCGGCAGAAATTTCACCTAATATGTGGAGAGACTGTTGGATCATTCGTGCTCCTGGTTCAGATGGTTGTTCTGGAAGATTTGTGGTTGCTGCATCTGCTGGCAACACACTGGATTCAGGGTTTTGCTCGTGGGATTTTTACACTAAGGAAGTGAGAGCTCTCCAAGTTGAGGCTGGAACAGCGTCCTCAAGAACCGCACTTAGACCCTTGCCTAACAATATTGTGCATAGAAGGAATTCTACTTCTGGCATTGTGGCAGCAGAAGCTAAGCAGTGGTGGTATAGACCCTGTGGCCCTCTTATCATCTCTACTGCCTGCTCCCAGAGATCTGTGAAAGTTTTCGATGTTCGTGATGGAGAGCAAATCATGAAATGGGATGTTCAGAAGCCTGTTCAAGCAATGGAATATTCCAGCCCTTTGCAGTGGAGGAACAGAGGAAAAGTAGTGGTGGCTGAAGCTGAATCTGTTTCTTTATGGGATGTGAACTCAATTGTTCCTCAAGCTCTGGTCTCTGTTCCTACAACTGGTCGAAAAGTTTCTGCTCTCCATGTCAGCAACACTGATGCAGAGTTGGGTGGTGGGGTTCGGAAAAGGTGAGTTAGATTTGAACCTTAGCTTCTTTATCAATTATGTCCTGTTTCTGCATTGTGTGCTCTATGTTCTGTCTAATAAGGTAGCATGTTGACTTATTTTTTCCTTTTATATCTAAGATAAGAAAATTTATGATACCATAGTGGAATTCAGGTCTCCATGGTTCAACTAGGACCAGTTTTAAAATTTCTACGCAAATCAAGATAAAGAAAAGGAAGTCTTCCAATTATTGACTCACTCAAACCCATTGTCCAACTGAATCCCACTTATAAAACTATATCTTAGTTACTGTATTCGTGCTGTCTACTAATAGCACAAACACATGTATAGTTAGTCTTATTTGAGTTGTTTTCCCATCAACGGAAAGCTTCAGGCCTAATATTTGCAATTCATGTTATTATTTATTATGGGAAGGACAAAACTTAGGTGCTTGGTCAAGCTCCTTATGTCCTAGTATCATGTTCTCCAATTGAATGATGATATGTGGATAGTTTTTGAAAATTCTGTAGCACATATTTAGTGAAAGTTATTTATTCTTGGAAAGAATATGAAGAACTTGATTTTGGTCTTTAAGGATAAGGGCATTTTCATAAGGGTCATGCATTTTCACTGCTATGTTTCCCTTTTGTTAACCAAGTTGAGAAATATAATGCAGGGTAAGCTCATCAGAGGCTGAAGGACACGACGGTGTGTTCTGCACATCAGATTCTATTAATGTCTTGGACTTTCGCCAGCCATCTGGTGTGGGCCTTAAGATCTCAAAACATGGTGTGAATGCGCAATCGGTTTTCTCGCGTGGGGACTCCGTCTTCCTTGGTTGTACCAGCACAAGTTCAATGGGCAAGAAGCAGTCCTCACCACTGCTACAGCAATTTTCATTGCGCAGACAAGGACTGTTTAGCATCTATGCCCTTCCAGATTCCAATGCACACTCACATCATGCAGCAATCCCTCAAGTATGGGGTAATTCTGACTTTGTCATGGGTGTTTGTGGCCTAGGACTATTTGTATTTGATGCACTGAAAGATGATGCACTACGTGTTCTCAATATGGATTATTCCAGTGCTCAAAGTTTTAGAGAAGTTATTGGCCCAGATGACTTGTATTGGCCTTCCTTTGATTATCTGGGATCTCGTGCTCTTCTTATATCAAGAGATCGACCAGCTATGTGGAGGCATCTAATAGCTTGATAATTATTAATTTCTAGTAACTTCAAGCCTTATTTGTCTACAATTACAAAACATAAATTTGCTTAAGCTTAAGGGTGTTAGTGTTTTTTTATTTATTTTTACTTGCTATGCTTTTTAAGGACTAGAGTTTTGTTTTCCATCAGACGAAATTATGTTAGATGTGGATGCTTGGGTGTTAATATTCTATGGAATGGCTGCATATATTCCCAGGTTGACCGCATATTACTGATCAGTCTGGTAGAGCAGAAAGAGGAATATACATATTTATGCCAACCCACCAGTTTTTCTTGAATCAGTATATTTTTATATTCAATCTAGTTTGAAATAAAATGAGCATTTGAGAACATGAGTTACACCTGTAATAGCAAATATGATTCTGAATCTACATTTGAATTTGGCTCAAGTATGGTTGAAATGTTAGATGCATACTAATGTATTGTTTTTATTTGGTTAAAGAGAAATAATAAAACCAAAATTGACTTAGAATTTAAATTTATCTCTTTTTTTCTCTTCATTTTAATTTATTTTTTCTTCTCTCAAATAAACAAAGGGTTAGAGTTTGAGGCTTGTACATCTTTGGTTTGGAATACATTAGAGCTCTTTTACTTAGTTATAAAAGAGGAAATGTTTCACTCAGTCTAACATTTAATTGGTTGCACTATTAGATTTTTTTTTTTTACCAAAATGAATTTAAATTAAAAACAAATTTTAAAAATAGTGTAATTTAACTGTTAATAAACATGTGGTGTCATCTTAAGAGTTGAGATATTTTAACGAGTCATTAGCCGAACAATTGACACATGTTATGTCCCTATGAGTTTTGCATCCTTAACAATTCCTTTCGGTTTCCTAAATTCCAACAAAATGCAAGATTAGAGACAAGACAATTTTTAAATTGGTCCCATTGACGGACATTTGACACGTGTCATGACTATGTTGAGTGGTGCGTAACCATGAGGTTGAACTCCTTGCATGTGTGACACCTATCTTGAACTAATAAGAGTGATGTATAACTAAGTGGCTCTACTCTGCGTGCTTGCCAGTGCCATGTGTCTCGATCTGTACAAGTGACACATCTGATTGACTCAGTTTTGTTGTAATTCGATTACTGTTTATAACACCCCTTTTAATAAAATGTTTTGAATTTATATAATTTTAAAAATTTATTTTTAAACTCTATTTTGATAAAAAGTTGCATTATCATCATTCTTAAGGATTAATTTAAAGTTACTTAAACGGCTAATATGATAAGGAAAATGTAACATTACTAAATTAATATCTTGTATATTTTTAAATGACTACTTCATTATATGTAAAAATCAAACACCAATACATTTACATATAAATCAAGTGATATTGCATGCATTGTTATATCTATATCTATATATATATATATAATATCAAATTTTATATTTATTTTTAAATTAATATATTTTCAACTTATTTCAATAAACTAAATCAAGACTTTTAATCTTATTTACAATTCACAGTATGTTAGATACACAAGCTTCATATTGGTTACTAAACCAATTTAATAAAGCAGGAATAAGTTACAAAAAGAGAATAATTTTTTATTTTAATTTTGGGGAACATGAAATCCAAACGTTGTGAGAGCCAATTTACAGGACAAAATGTCATCTGTCATGCATTCTTGTTTTGCATAACAATCTGTGTTTATTGATACTTCAATTGGTAACGTTCAAAATATTATTTCCTTTGGCATTATTAGAAAATTTGTACTTGTATGAGAACGTCATCTCAGCTGTCTGAATCTATGTCGCGAAATGGTAGCGGAACTGCCTTCACTGCTCGAAAATGACCAACGTTGGTTAGATGCTCATTCTCCAACCTGTCCCCAAAAGTTGTTAACTCATTAGCTTTAAATAACATAATTTTAAAACCTCTACCAATGATACATAATTCTAGAGCTTTAGCAAAATCGAGGTTTGTTAAACGGTAATTATAAGTATCTACTTATAGCACAATCAACTTTTGCTCAGTTACCGTCAAGCTGATAAGTGTGTGTTTGATAACATGTTAAAAAACATGTAAAACGCAGATTTAATGTAAAAGTTATAAGGTAAATTTATGATCTTATAAATATGAAATCAAACATGCACTTAGTAGGTGCTTGTTCAATATATTTAAAAGAAATAATTACTTATTTCTTCCAATTTCTTTATAGAATTTTTCAAAATTTTTTTTTTCCTTAAAGTAACTGTTTCCGAATATTTACTTAATAACATAATTTCAGGGCCTTTATAATTAAGTATTAATATTTCTATAATTGTTTCTCTCCTTTTTCTAATTACAGTATTGTTGCTATGAACTTTTTATACTATATATGCAGCTAACTTGACCTTGTGGGATGATTTGATTCTTTACGGATAACAGATTGTGTCACTTCAGATGTGATATTGGAGCAAGGCATTGATAGTTTCAGTCGTGACCAAATGAAATTGATGAACTAAAACAAGAAGGGCGTTCAGAACAATGAAAAAGTCATCTTTTAGCACTCTTAAAAATGTTAGAGACAGCACCTGTAGAAATTCCAATGCCCTCGTCGAATAACCTCTAGTGAAGCTAACAAAAAGTCTAGAAGCCTTGTTTGAACAGGCCCCACTTTGAGGTGCATCATAGTCTCCACCCAAGCCACTCTTAGAACAGCATTCAACGCCTGAAATTCAATACCCCTTTATGATTTTAAGACCAATTTAATGGGGTATATTGCCATATTCAAATCACAAATATGTAAAGAGAAACTTACAATAGACATGTAGTATATGCTTTTATATTTAAGAATTAGATCATCTCTGAGCCATGGGTTTTTGGAGTTGGGATTGAAAAAACCCCAGTCCTTAACAAAATCCCAATACAATTGATATACTGTGGCCATCCCAGAAGTGATTAAGACTATAGCAAACCATACATAGTTATCTTGCCTCCCATATGTGACTCTAGCCGCTGCTGCAACCATTGCAGAAACGTACTTCCCCATGTTAGCCAAATGGGCAACATCACAGTCATCAAACCATCGCCTTATACACTGATAATCGCATATCAAAGGTGTTAGTTGATGGCATAAAATGGAGTATTTAAAAGAAAATCTGCTTCAATAGTCCTTAATTCTATTCTCGTTAATTTATCTGCAGAGAGAAAGAATAAATTATACAAATTAAGAAATTCAATATTTTTTTGAATTAATTGCTAAACTTTCTACTTTATCTTTTATTAGTCGATTTCCTTCTTAACTCTTGAATTACTCAAATAGTATAAATATTAGATAAAACTTAGGTACAGTATTCTTTAATTAAAATTAAGTTTGACCTTATTAATATGGAATAACATTAAATACAAATATTTTATTTTATTAATAATTAAACAACACAAATAAAATCTAAAAAATAACACATAAATTTTGTCTATAAATATTTCATATGGACAAAAAGGTATATTAGTGGGAAAATAATAATTAGTATTATTATCTTGTACTTTTAAATAGACAAATAAAAAAGAACACTTCTTTTTCTCTTTTCTCTAGACAGATAAAAAGGGACAAAAGTAGTACATCATATCCCTAATTCTTGAAGTAGTTGATTAATTTCCTAGCTTGCTATGTTACTACAGAATGTACATTACCATAAGCATCAAAGGCATACCTGCAATGCCCGCCAAATATATGGCAAAAATGAGATAATATAAGTTATTTCTACGTATAGTCTTCCAGAATGGCAGGCCTCAGGGTGGTTTGTTTTGAAAACTCTAGCAAAAATGTGACAACCTGTTGTTCCCAAATGCCTTAGCAATGGAATCTGTAACCGATAAAATAAAATTTAATTTTGATTAGGATGCATATTGAGAAGAAGAGGGAAACAAAATAAACTTATTGCACAATAAGATCACCTGGCTAGTTAGTTGGTCAGCCATGAAAAAGTCTACCAGCAGAACCTGTAGGAATAATAAATTAAATAAAACAATGACAAGTTCAATTTTGTACATGACTATATACACCATGTCATATCACTGTGTTCAATTGTTCCAAGGAATGTAAGAACAAATTCACCTTATAAAATGGAGAGCAGACTATGTTACGCATAACACGGATGAAGCAGAAGCGCGTTGGGCGATAAAAAATGTCAAATGGGCAAATGAGAAGAACTACAAAGATCTGAAAATGGCAGTTCATGATCAGCACAAATATTTAACCTGAACTCTAGAAATGCTATTATAAATAACTTTTCAGAATTTAAAGCTAACCAAGCTATATTATACAATATGATACCATAAATAAACACATAATTTTTTTTAAAATATTAGAATACGGCTAAAGCAACATTTACTAACTAAAATATACTTATATTATGTATGTGTATTGACATTTAAGACAAGCTTGACCTAATCTTAGTCAAGCAATAATTTGACAAAAAGAATAATTAAAATAAGTAAATAGTATTATAAATTCTATAAAATATAAAAGCTGTCACTAATAACTAAATAGCAACTATATTATATGTATCCATATTTGACACAAATACAACGTGTGACGTGGAGCTTTCTCGCGTATCCGTGCATCATAGCTTTCAAGTAACATAAAAAAGCAATAGTAATTTTTAACTAACCAGAAGAAGAATTCCAGGAATTGCATCAACTTGGACTGGAGAAAAACCTGCAGCCCTTAGAAGCAGGTGTATCACCATTGCTCCAAACACAGTTGTCATGAGGGTAGTGCATATCAGAAATGCATCTCTGTGCTTTAATGCTGTGTTTGGTGAGAATTCAAATATGAAATTATGGTTGATTCTTGTACTCTTCCACGTGTACAGGTTGCATCCAAACATAAACAAGTGTAGGCTTAACAATGTGAACACACTGCACAAAATCAATGTAATGTAACCATTAGTGCAGCGATAACAGGTTTCATTTTATGTTCTCTAGTTTAGATGTTTAATCTCAGTTCTTAGAATTTTAATGCTTTCCCCCCTCACCTCCCTCCTTTATGTGCAGGGTAATGGTTTATTATTACAAATTTGAGTTAGAAAAGATAGGTTTCGCTAAACTTTTCACCCAAAACAAGAATCAGCCATTTACTATAAGAGTCTTGTTAATCAATATTCTAAGTTAAAGAAATAAAAAAATCTTTTATAAAAAATCACTTTAAAAGTGTATGGCAAATCATAACGGGAGTGCATTAAACAAATTTTTTTATTCAAATATATTCAATTATAATATAACTTAAATGAGATTTGGATTCTTACATTTTAACAAAATTTTTATTTTAGTGAATTTGAAGTTTCTTTTTTAAATTTCATTCTTCATTTTGTATATTTTTATTTGTAATCCTTCTCACATGCGAGGTTTAACTAAATTGACACATAATAACTTTTTAGTAGACCACGTTAATGATAGAATTAAAAATAAAAATTTCTAAAAATATAAGAATCAAAATAAAAAATTTACATTTAGAGGAATTAAAATAAAAAAATTTGCTCAAATATAAAATTCAACATATATTTAAACTTTTAATTATTTAATTAGTGCTTTAACAATATTGGTTAGCATCTTCCATAGGACAACTGGCACCCGTCTTCTTCACCTACACAAATGTATTGAACCGTAGACATTCCTTTGTTTGAATAATTTAGGTTAAAGAGTTGGGATTTTGATCAGTATTACTTATTCTATCATAAATAAAAGTCATGTGTGAAGTTAAATTCAAATAGGAACCATGCAATGTTGCACCTGAAAACAGGGTAGACTGCTTCCGTATAAGCTGGCTCTGTGCTAGGCGAGAATATACCACACAAATGAGCCAATATTATGTATACACAAAACAAGGATACAAAACTACCTGTACACAACCCTGTAGAAGAAGTAACATAGAAACATCAATGAAATGTTAATATAATTAAGGGTATTGATTTACATATCTATAAAATTGTCCTATAAGCTTAGTGGTTTAGTGGCCACTGGCTGGTTGCCATACCTGAAAATTTTATATGGATGTTGCTTTTTGTAGTAATCATTTCGTATTACATTATTTTGAAGTGATCAAGCTATCACTAGGCATAAAATATTATATCGTTTTGACTTTTGAACGCACTGTTAGGAAGTAACAAATGATATAATGAACACTACTTTTTAAAAATATTCACTAATAGGCTAATAAATATTAATTTGAAGTTGTTAAGGACAGTTTAGGACTTAGGGGAGAGAGAGAAGGGCATTACCGACAAGGAAGGTAACCATATGAGAACTTTTTGGCTGCTGAGGTTTTAAAAACTTCATTGCCTTTTTCCTATCATTGTTGGCAAAGTGCTTTGTGAATATGGATTCCACTTCGTCCATTAGTCTTACAACCTTAAGTCAAAATATTATATTGAAAATAACCACCAATTATTAGAAATCCTTATAGTGTAATCCATTCTCCTAACTGAGAATTTAAGAAATGGTGCTTGAAATTTGAATAATTGTTTGTTTCTTTTTTTCCCTACTTATAAAATAAATGCATATAGGAAAAAAGTGGCATACCTTATCAGAACTAATGAACTGGGATCTCTTCACTTCTTTTAAATAATTTGCAGAAGCCTTTTGGCAAGACACCTGATCAAATGGCGATATAATTTCGCTCATATCATTGGAATTTAATTAAAAAATAAAAACATGCTAAACTAATAAACTGTTTGTAACATGGAAATTATTTTATGTATCAATGTCAAGGAGGTGAATTAAATTATCAAATCGTGATACAAGTTACTCAATTAAAACGAGTACTGGTACTTTGGGCATCACTATGACAGGCAAATTTTGAGTGGAGGATATAAGTTCAGCTTTAAATAATTGCGTACATCCGTATATTGTTACCAAATGAGTTACCTATGAAATAATAGTTTTTACTTTTTGAGATTTATATATTTAAGAGACAGTAATTTGAAAGAGTTGTTCATCAAGAATTTATAAAAATAGTTTATAATTCTTACAAGCTAATGATATAATTTATTAATATAATTTTTTAAATTTATTTTGATAAATTTCATAATCAAATTTATGTCATAAACCTTCATATAGTTAGAATAGATTAATTCAGTACTTTGTTATTATTTACTCAAACATACCCTTAATTTTTGTTTCATGATAATATATATGAGACATGTTAATATTATTGAGTCAAGAACACTTGGTCTTTCTTACAGACCTCGTAAGCATGATAAATGCACCTACGTAATATAAATCAAGAAAGTAAACTAAAAATGTTAAATGTGAGACTACATATATTAAAAACTGTAGTTGAACTATAACTAGCTAGTTAAACATGGGTACTGTTTCCTTTCACAAAAATGAAGATGTTTTAAGGGGCAAAGCTAATAATACAAGAGAGGCACGTTCCTTATTATCCCTAAAGAATTAGAACTCTGTATTTTAGATCGAGTTACACACCTTTCTTATGCACTGTATACTTGCCAACTAAATTATTTCTGTAAATTTTAGAAAAATTAAATGAGAGATTTTTAAATAATAAAGAAATATAATAGAAATTTTATTAATTTGTTATACTCAATATAAGAATTTCTCAACAATTTTATCCAAGTTGAGCTTAATTAAAATTCTAATGGAGATGCATGTGAAGGAGCACTGCATGGTAGTACACGAGGATTTAAACATAAGACATCACCCAATAACTATATAGGGGAAAGGGATGGAAGCGAGTAGCTGTTTTGCTGCTATATCTTAGGTCATGCTTTGTGTGAGTTATATATAGAAATATAATTGGTTTGGGCAATTAGGTTGGTTACACATATATGAATATATTGAGATAATTGTTATGTCGTTCATGACCTTCATGTGAGGAATATAGCCCGCAATTGCGAGTTAGTTTGAAACGTGATGAATTATGTAACAGAGTTCACTTTCAATTCATTTGTCTTTACTACTCTTGTTAACTCGTTGAGTAAGACCATAGAGTGACACCTGAAAGTAAGATTTATGCATTCATACACAGAATGTAACATAACAAGGAAGAAAGAAAAGAAGTAATCTCAAATTCCAATGTAATGTTGCATTCATGTTCATGTAGTGTCATGTGTAAAGAGTTGAAGATATTTGAAGCCGTACCTTGTCAAATTTCTTGAGTATCTTTGAAAATGCTACCATATTCAATGAGCTGCAAAATAGATAGAATGTGGTCAGAAATTGTTCAACAGTCACTATAAAAAAAAGGCACGTACAGTAAGTGGTTATGGCCTATGACCCACCATTATTCAATGAAACATACGTATATTACGTAAAGGAATGGAAAATTCAGGGACATGTACTTGCGTGACTAAAGAAATGAAGCTATTTTTGGAGTGACACGTAATAATTCTTTCACACAAAAATGGTTTCTTATTTTAATTATATCTTAGTATTTCGACGGTCTCTTCATCAGCTCTATCATGTTTAAAGTTGTTCAACTAGCCCAAACAAAGAAGCAACACATTGTGCATCTTTTTTCTCACAACTTTTCCAACGCTAGTTTTTTGCCAGTTAATTTTTGACGTGTAGTGCGCTTAATCAGAAGTGATAGAATAAGTGTTTCTTTTATATAGAATATTTTGATGATATTTTAAAAGAAAAAAAATCTTGGGTGTGTGTGTAGTAAGTTTGCGTTCTTACATTAATTTAAATTAAGGGTACTTTTTTTTATTTATGAGATCATTCAAACTGTCTATATATCGCCTTTACATCTTTTATCATCGTAGCAAAAAAAAAAAAAAAAGTTGTTCCCAACCATTAAAAATAAGGGTTTTCATTATGATGAAATTATTAGGTGAATAGGACGTGTATATTACTGATTTAAAGCAAGTAAAGAGAGTTATTTTGGGTAATTATAGTTAATATCATGATTTTGAATCATGAATGGATCAATCAGGTTGGCCCGTATAATCCAGCTATCGCACCCATTCACAAACCTCCATTTGCCTTATCTACCCAAAATCTTGTTCTTACGTGATCTATTGAAACTCCATCCAACTCCACACTTTTTTAGCCTCATTAATATTTAGTCTTTATCCTTCATTCTAATTTAAGGCTAGCATACCCCAAATCAGCTTCCATCATTTTCTATATTTCTCTTCTTATATTTAATAAAAGGAGTGTATGTTTGATCGTTTGTCAAGGACTAAAACCAGATAATTTTTATATTTTGCAAAGACTAAAAATAAATAAAATTTAATTAACATTGAAATTAAAAATATATTTAACTCTAGCAGTGGTAATAATAATGATAGATGTACGTAATTAAGTGAACAATAACCTGTAAGTTTTGAGAAGGCCAAGACCTTTATAGAGCTCTACAAATGCACTTCTAATCATCTTCTCAGCATATTGGATTTTTCTCTTGTTAATGAACTCTCCGTACCCAGGTTTCATTGGAGTGTTCACTAAATCCTCCCACAACAGGGAAGTAACAGCCGTCAGTGCCTGTGTTGGCGTGGTGGCCGGAATATCAATTCTCATTGCCATCTGAGGCTTTCCCTTCTTTGTCTTTACCCTCATTGCTGAATTCACAAAACTTAGACCATTTTTCTCCAACGTTGAGATTACTTCTTCCATTTCTGAATTAGTTTCTTCTGATTCTCCAATACTTTCTGCATAAACAAATGCATATTAAATCGTTAAGCAGATCTAGAGGATATAAATATAGAAATTTATATTTTTCAACAAATTAATTATTGCATTTTGAGACACGTGTGACGTCCTTATTATTCCACATCACAGGCGCAGAAATTTTCTTGTCTGCATAGAGACTCATTTCTGTGAAGTACTCATGAATAATAGTTTCAACAATTTTTTTTTTATATTAATTATATACTAACCATTTTATCATAATATAAAAAACATATTAAGCAAGAAATAGCATTTTTATTGATTCAAAGTATATTTAAATAATTTAATTTATATTTCAAAAAATATTTATATAATTGATTTTTTTACTGTTTTCCTATTCATTATCTGTTAAATTTATGAATAAACGATGAAAAAAATTAATTTATATATAATTATTCCGAAAAAAATATTTTTTTTGGAAAAATTTTTTTCGGAAAAATTCCTAATAAATAACTTAAAGATGAAAAATCACCCAAGTCTTATAATAACGTATATTTTGACTAAATTATTAACTATTGTAGCACATTTTAACAAGCTACTTCGACTTTTATAACAATTAATTGAAGGCTCGCTTTCATTTTTTTTTATAACTCATGAATTAATGTTAATATTTAACAAGTGAAATATAAATAAGAGAGGTGACCCGAATAATTGGAGCTGTGAACCGGAGAATGAGGTAAAATTCCGGTATCAGAAGAAGCCTTTGGCGGTGGATTTTTGCGGAGGCGATCACTGAGAACTTTCTTAAGGTCTAGCAAGATGTGAAGCTGCTTGTTAAGCATTTCTCCTCTCTCAAGAAACTCACTCTCTTGTTTCTTGTAGAATTGGTTCACCTTGTTTAGCTCTTCATCAAGCCTTGCAAAAAACACTTGCACTTCATCCTCTTCCGAAAATAATTGCGCCAGCTCAGTTTCATACACTTCTTCTCCACTCTCCTCCACGGTTTTCCTCCTCACCTATAACACAATTTTTAATAAATATAAACATTTATACATAGCTACCCCTTTTCAATCGTTATTAAGTTTATGTACACAATATAAAAATTAATATTCATTTTATATATCATTTTATGTAAGTTTACATTAATGATCTAGTGCATTTTTTGGTTTTGTGATGTGTATGTGAGCAATAGTGCTTCCCACTAACGCCAATATCCGTTTTCACCTCATTTCGTGAGAGAGGGAGAAACTACCGAAAGCAGGAAAAAAAAAAGCAGAAAGGAGTTTCAGAATTTTTAAAAAAAGGCCACTAAACTCACTTTAGAGTCCCTAATGCCATTCTCACTCTCTCCACATTCTTGTTTTGCTTTTTGACTATTATTTTATTCACTCCATTTTTAGTTCCCACTTATAAATAATTAAGCATATACATCAAATTAATTAATCATTATAAAGGGTAGATTAGCCTTAGAAATATTTTCAAGACTTAAAAGGAAATACTGATTACACGTTCTTGAGTATATATTGAATTTTTTAATGTTGATTTTTCTTTTAAAACGTCAACTTGATTACCTCACGAATAGGTAGTTTTTAAAGGGTATATATTCTTTGATAAATATAACATGCAACCAAAATTTAAGAATCAAAATATTTTTGAAGGGTATATGCATCTGATTGTCTTACCATATTAAGAAGAATTGCTTCAATTCATCTTGGGTTGTTTATTTGATTGGACCATAAAGTAACATTTTTAGATTGTCGTGTGCAACCAATAGATCATTGACCATTGTCATCGCATTACGTTTTCGTGGTTCATATTAACTGGAACTAACGTGGCGGTTATACAAATATACAAACGTAATTTGCATATCCTTGTTGAGAAAACAGGCCACTTTAGTTATGTCTATATCATCATAAACTAACAGCTAGCCAGCTTTTGAAAATTGGAAGAGAAACCAGATTGGAATCAATTTTGTGTTCATCGAGAGTTTTTGAGCAGAATATAAGAAATTAACTAAATAAGAGCCTCAGAGTAACATATCGTTGTCATCCGAAAATGATGTCATTTTTTTCGCTTTTCTCTCCCTTCCTTGCAAAAAGGTTATGCACGAAGTCACAGAAAAAAAAAACTTGACTAAAGCACATACAAGATCATAGACAGACGCAACGTCCCATATTTTGTTTTTTTTTATCCTAACTCTTATTTATACCTCAAGTGTATTATATATCTTTTAACATTAATTATTTTCTCTTATATATCTTCTTGTATCTCTTTGAATAGGGCAGTGTTTATCAAACATTTTTTCATTTTACTAGAATCACCACAAAAAGAGCTGAACAACAACAAACCAGAGAGCAAGCACAAACTTTATTAACCGTAGCAATGATTTTGTACTTTACCTGAATTATATCTTGTTTATTGTTGTCTGAACTGAATAAGTTGTTGGTTATGAAGCGAAAGGAATCAAAAACTGAGAGACCAAAGTCCCCTTGATGTGCTTCTTGTTGCTTGGAAATTCTTGTTAATTTGATCCTCTTTATTTGTTTCTTGAGCTGGCTATAGTTGACAAAGGCCTCCTTCCATTCTGGTATTAGTTGAGCTTCGAGTTCCCTTGAGAATTTCACCATTGTATTTGTGAAGGGATAAAGGAGGAAGAAGAGTAGAAGAACTTGTATAAAGTGGCTGAGAGATGAGAATGTGATCGAGGGGTTTTATAAGAGAAGAGCCGTGTGGACAATGTTAATAGAAGTTTACATTGCTTTTTCCATTTAAATGCTGTTTCTCTGTGGGGCTAGAGTAAGCTTTTTATCTATTAATATCCCACGTTTATAAATTTGAAAACGAGACAATTTCTTTTTATAAAAAAATAAAAATTTTAATGTGTTTTTTCACCAAAAATTTTAATGTTCTAAGGATTTAAATAGTTATGTCTGATGTGAAAGGTACAATTTTTACTATTAGAAAAATTCTAACATAGACAGATAAATTTCATTTCTAATATGTCAAATCCTTGTTAGAAATATATTTAGAGATATAATTAGAGAAAAAAATTATTTGTCATTAAATCACTTATCATAAATTGATTAGAAATAAAAATTTAATTTTTTCTAAAATAGAGCTTAATACTGTCTCTAATAAAGACAAAGTTTATGTCTCTATTTCACATAATTTTTTGTCTCTAATTAAGGAGGAAATTAGAATTTTGTCTCTAAATTTAATGATATCTTTGCCTCTATATTCTGTCTCTAATTTAAGTTGATTCTCTTTTTCATATGTGATTGTATCTTTAACTATGCGTATAATAAATAAATAAATTTTAAACTTATACCTTTTTATACACCTCTTTTTGCATGTAAATCATTTTACATCAAGTAAAATCATCATAAAAAAATTAGATTGAAAGTACCCAAGTCATATAAATGTAACATTCATGTTTCACACAAGTAAACCTACAAATACACAAGATATCATAAATAGTTACAATTAAATTTAAACAATTTATCATTTACAATAATAACTATAAAGCCAAACTACATGATCATTCAAATCTTCATCACCATGACTCTCTTTTTGTTCCTCTTGTATGAGTGCAAGTGATAATGATGTTGCATTATTATGTAACATAAGTCTCTCAAACCTTTACTTCACGATTCTGTCAAATTTCATAACCAGCAACGAGTGTCAATGTAAGGTCCAAGTGAACAATTTTAATATTGCAAAAAGAATTTATTAAAAAAATGATATTTAAAAAAAATAATAAACAAAATTAAATAATTATATTCAAATTTGAAAGGAAGAAATTTTAATAAAAATTAATATCTCAAATAAATAAATAAACTAATTATTATTTAATACTTTTATTTATTTTATAAATATATAAAATTAAATAAATTATTATTATAATTTTTATTTTATACAAATTTAAAATTAAATAAATTATTATTGTAATTTTTATTTTTTTAAAATATAATATTAAATAATCAAAAATATAATTTCAGAATATAACATTAATATCATTTTCAAAAAATCAAAATTATATTAAATAATATGATAAGAAAAAAAATATTATTTATTATCTTAAATATGTCAAATAAATTTTAATAAACATTTAAAATTAATATTATTTTTATTTTTATTCATTTTTAAATAATATAAAAAATATAAACATAATTTAAATAATAAAAATTATTTTACTATATATAACTAACAAAATATTTATAAATATTTATTAAAATAATATATTATAAATATTTATTTTAACAAAATATAAATATATAAATATAATTTTAATAATAATATTCATTTTATTATATAAAAACATAAAATAAAATTAAAAAAAAAAAGCCGACTCAAGATTTAGTTCCGTGAGAATGTTCTGATGGCCAAATTTTATCTACAGAATTTGAGTTTATTTAGATAATTAAATAGATTTGAGTTTATTTAGATAATTAAATAGACCCTGGATTTATTTGAGTATTTTCTATTTTATAATTTTACTGTAAAAATCTCTCCTTTTGTTAAGATAGATAGTATTTATTTCTATAATTTTTACTATTTGAAATTTTCGTTGGATGAGAAAATATGATTTTTGAAAAAAGTACTGTGAGTACACTAGTCCGTATTCATCAGGTTTAGATTACAAGATAGCTAACACAGCTGCTTCGTACACGAATCATATCAAATTTTAAAGGGACTAAACTACCGAGAACCATAATGGCTATGCTGGTTTAGTTTTTTCTTTCACCAAACATCTTTTCTGTTGGTTATCTGTGTTACACGTTAGAAAAGTGTTCCAGATCATGTATCCTTACCTGTCAAGTTTTCTAATAAAACTGTGGTATATTTCATGTCTGAACTGACGTAGATCATTTTTTTTATAATTATAATTTAATTTTAAATTAATTAAATGTCAAAATATTAAATTATATTATTTAGTCTATATTATAAATAATTATTGTTATTGAACTTATTTGTAATAACTTTAAAATTATTAGTGAATATGATTTTATGGTTATTATTATTGACTAGAGAGATCCTATTTCTAATCACTCCATAGTAACTGTTGTCCTATTGACAAGTGTATATAAAAAATCTGAAAGGATTATAAAAAGAGTTCTTTCTCTGTTTTTTGTTTCTCCCTCATCAATCAAAGAAGCACTGAATTATGGATTCATTAATTTCAAACATTCTTAGTAATTCTTACTTAATCTTATTAGAGTGTTTGTTTATCACTTCTCATATTGATAATTAGATTCTTATTTTTTCTTCAAGTGGTATCAGAGCTTGTCTAATTTTGATATACCAGCGATATTACAGTTGTTAAAAAATGTATATTTATACATGCGACGAGTTCTGATAGATTAATTTAAGATTTTAAGTTTTCTTTGATTAATCTCGAAATTGATTTGGGACTTTTGTTATTAGTAATATGGTGAATAAATTGATATAAAAATCTTGTGAAGCATATCAGCGTAAAAGGAGAATTTTGATTTTGAAATTATAAACCCTAACTTTTGAATCCAATTTGAATTTGAAAAATCCCAATCCATAAGTTTGTGAAAAACTGTTTCAATTCCTTTTATAGTATAGAAAGTTTCAAATCTTTTGACACCAAAATTGTTAATTTTCATCGAGTATCAAGAGAAAAAATCTCAAACTACCCGCTCTTTTTCATGGAGTTATCTAAGATGTTAGACACTATAATTTGAAACAAAATTACATGAGTTTTGTAAAGCATTGAAAAAAGGGAATATGTAGACATTTGATTGATTTTCATCAAGTATTGAGGGAGAAACCCCAATCTTATGTATGCTTATGTTTTAAGATGATGTATTTGGTGTTGTTGAGTACGGAATTTATTGCTTTTGTGTGTAAGAACTATGTTTTTGACTCTTTTATGTGAGTTTCAAATTAGGTTTGAATTTTGTTATTCAAGTGTTAAATTTAATTTGGTTGTACATCTTGAATTTGTGGTTTGTGCTTGGTCATGGTTAATCTTTATTTTTTTCTTTCCTATTGAGATTTTGATGCTTTCTTATGAGTTTTTCACAAGATAGGATAATGTGGAGAGATAGCTACAAAAGGTCATGCAAGATGAAGTTTTGGAGGCCTAGTCCAAGGAACTCTTTTTTTCTCATGATCTTATGTCAATTTTACTCTTCAATATTCACTTGAGTAATTAAGTAGAATTAAAATGAGTGGCTGTAAATTGAAATTGATTGTCCACTATAGTCTTATAAGATTATTTTGCTATCGTATTATTGTTAATCTAAACCATAAATGTGTTTGTTCCAGCTAATGTATGTGGACTATAGAGGCCATTTTCATGCAAGTTCAACTTCAAATATATACCAAAGCATTCCTTTGATATATATTATATTTTAAGTTTAAATTTAAATAATTTTTTACAATGTTTGATCATTCACCAACTTCTTCTAAATAGAGAAAGGCTTTTGTAGTTTTGTTGTTGTATTGAATAAATTAATATGTTGCATTATATTAATAGCTCTCTTGTCACTTACTATGATAAATATTTTGGGATATGTTTGTAGTGTAGTAGCCAATGGTATTGGATATATAGCATTGACAACAAATAGTAAAAATAAATAAATAAATAAATAAATTTATTTTATTATAGTAACTAATATGAATAATAGTAATAACGAGACCTAATTTCTTTTAAATTTTTTATAGTTTAAAGTTATTGGTGAAATTTTATTTATTTTTTAGACATCAAAAATAATTTTGTGAACCTTTTTTTATTGTAACAAAATGCTTAAAGACATTAGATACTCTTCTAATTTTGGTCTAAAATTTTTTATACATATTTTTGACACTGTTATGCATATTATGTTCAACATACTTTCCAATTTGGTATTATTTGATTAATTAAATAATTTATGTTCTATTATGCGTAGATTATTAATTATTGTGATTATGTCATATTGCTATTATAAAATTTTGTCACATATATTTATGAGATATGTTATTTTAGACCATTTCGTATTGTTATAGATATTTTTCACAATTGTGAGATCGCCTTACAAGATAGATTGTAATAAAATATTGTTATATGAAAATTATTGTTATTAATGTGACATTAGAAAATATTTAAATAATGCACCTACCCTATTAGTTTGTCTTTATTGATATAGTTCCTGATGATTAACAATTATATTTTAAAGTTTTCTATATCCTTTTGATATTAGCTTTAAAAATATAATTATTTTTTGTAATGTGGGAGTTAACTCTTGTATTATAATTTGGGACTCTTCGATGGGATTATAATTGCATGAGGTAACCTTGTTGTCATAAGATCTATATTATCTATTAGGTTTGCTCGACAAAATCTCCCATTAATGATAAATTTTGTCTTTGCCAAATAAACTCTTTACCATAGCTGAATGGAAGTAATTATGAGGACTGGATTGATTCTATTAAACTATTCCTTGCCTTTTCTAATGTTGATGTTGCTTTTACTAAGAATGAGCCACATGCTCCCACACCTAAATCTTCAGCAAAGCATGATAAGTGGGCTCATTCTATTAAAATATATCTAGTAACTACGAAGTTTACTATAAATAATGTTCTCGAGATATGTAGTACTAACGGGTAAGTCTAGTTATAA